CTGCAAAATAATAACATCGTCTTTTAAAATTCTGGCTCAAAAATAATAAAGAAGCCACATGAAGATCATATATAAGACATGAATACATTTCAAAAAATTTTAAAACAAATATTGTTGTAAGCCTTCAATTTAAAACAAATAGTATGTCATCCTTACACTGTTAAACCATACGAGCTCTTACAAAAGTTGTTCATTTTCTTTTAACCTCAAGGCTGAGTTTCAACGATACCTCGTCTTCGTGATTGATAACTATCTTGGACCGCCGTAAAAATCGATACATGCTTCCATTTTGCTGATGAAGCTGTAGCCATAAGGCCAAAATTTAATTCCTCACCTTGCGGTTTCTGGTATATGACTGAGCTTTCTTTTGTTTAGTTCTTCAATTTTGCATTTAGGAGCGAAAGATGCATTTTTAGTCAATGTTTACATTTAAGTTGAGACACTCTCCTTTTCACTGCTTCATATTATAGATCTGCATGTTTCACTGAAAAGCGCCAGGAGCAGTGAACTTCCATATCAGAGCAGAAAGTAGTTTTGCCAACTGCGTACATATATTACATTCTGGACACCCTGAACTCTTGACCTTCCCTATGAGGGAGATGCTGCTAAAATGTCAGTTAATCATAAAGCAGTGCCACAATGGGTTACCCAGGAACAGAAGGCAATATAAAAGAGCAATTTTAACATGTGATTGCCAACGCATGCAATGCAGGCAATTTCTGATGATGCATATTTTATTTCCATTTAATAAGAGAAACAGAAACTGTATTTTCTTAGCTTCGATACCAGATGGTATATACCCAGAGGAAACAGACACATGAAAAAACAAAACAAAACAAAACAAAACAAGAAACCAAACAAACAGCATACTTTCTTTGTTCAAGGGAGTTTTTGAATTACTTCCCGTTTAAGACAACTTCACATTTAAGACAACTTCACATTTACACCTTTTTTAAAAATTTGTCAATGCCTAAAGAAGCATTATGTGAACAATAACATGGGTCAGGCTGTGAGTGAAGAGTGAAATAGTCATACCCGTTAGGTGCATGAGAGAAGCGTACATAGGTGGCTACAGCCACCAGAGGCTGTAATTACCACCACTCCTAACTTGAGAGACCCTGACACAGGTCATTGAAGTCACCAAATGATTGTAAGGTACTTTAGAAAGAAAACAAAAAAATAGCTATGGCAACTAGGTGGGAGAAAGTAAAAAGCAAAGCCTTTTTTTTAAACATTTTAACTGTTTAAAATATTTAACTCACAGCATGTATTTTAGGGTTAAGCATGTTAATAAATTGCACTTTCAATAAAAGTGAAGTTACAAACATTAAACTGTGTTTTTCCAGGTAATATGTTAGCCGTGCAGATGCTATTTTTAAAAATGTATAGCCCTCCCAGATTTTACCTATTGTACTTTCATTTATTCATGCTATACTCTTCTGAAAGGGGAGGAGAAATCAACTGTTGTAGGAGAAAGAGGGGAAAGAATTCATGCTTTTCAAGTAAAAACCAGTTTTCAGAAAATTGGTTTGTGCCCCAGCTGCCATTGTCTGATGTCAGACAAGTTATTGTTCTGTTTTGCTTTTCCTGAGTCTTAGATTCACGAGCTACAAAATTGGGCTAATAATATATCTAACTCACAGGATTGATGTGAAAATAAAATATGATAGATTAATTTTATACGTTGATTATAGAACAGTATTAATCAATACTTACCTATGAAAATCTACATTTGCATATAGAAATATAAAATTTACTCACTGATACACATAAGTAAATCCATTTAATTAACGTGCTGTAAAATTATTTATTGATGGGTTTCTGCCAAGAAAAAAAAAAATGAACGATAGCCAGAAATAAAATTTCAATGGCTTAAATACCTTAAAATGAAATGCTTAACATAGTAAATAGTAACTAATTTATTCTGTGGTTGGTACTCAAGAGCAAAAAAGTTGTTTCTCTGTGATACATCAAATAAAATAAGAATTTTTGAGAGGGAGAAAATAATCATCATTCCTTTGTTATTTACAAAAAACTCATGTGAAATTGACATCAAACACATGCACAGCTAAGAAATTTTTATACTTATGTTTAAGGCTTCTTGGTCATCTAATATGTAGGATATATTAAAATAGCTATTTCAAGATAATCACCATTTATTTCATCAGACAATATTAATGGTTCAACACTACAACTACAATGTGGCAGTCTCCGAGACTTGATTAAAATAGAATGATTTGTAAAACCAGTAATAAAGAGCTTGCACAATTTAATAGAATTAGATGGAAACGTCTCCAATGGTTATGTTTGGGGTTTCAAAAGGATCATTTTCCCAGATTATGGAGAATTTTGAGGCCACTGATGGTGCTGGTAATGTCTGACGGATCTTAAATTTGGAGAAACGGATATGGATCTTGAAAAAGGGAAGTAGATGGACATCACATTCTCACTCTATATTTAGATATTCCATGTTTATTATTTATACTTAACTTCAACTTTTCAGACTGTTTAAAAATTATAATATATACTTCCATCAGCTTTCCCTCCTTTTGTAATAATCGAGCAAGTGTAGCAGGCATTGCTAATAAAACATTAACCCCAGGTTCTTCAAATCTACAATGTATTTAAGCATCTAGTCTATAAGCACCTTTTTTAACATAAAAATCTGCATCAAACGCAACTTATAAGGAATTGATAAATTAATAAACATATGTGACAAAGACATACCACATGTGAAACATAGTTTTAAAAATAAACTTTCTATAGTTGAAAGGTAAACTAAGAGTGAGCCTGATACCACTTTATGTTACAGAGCCCACAAATTAAATGTTTTTCAGATAAAGAATCAGAAAAAAAAATCAATATAATTCCAAAATGTCAAGGCATTTATAAATTTGAAAGCAGTTATAAGTGTGTTATTTTTACTCCATCCTTTCCTACACAGATAAGATCATTCTTAAAAGAAAATGCCTCAAATCACTTCCTAGCCATACTATGCATTTTTATATGGATACTATACATAAGCATTCAATAGGGATAAATCAGTTCTCGTGAACATGTTGTTTTCATCCACTTAATACAGCATAGCTACCTTTGAAACAAAATCTAATTTACTTGCAAGCTCCACTGGCCCTCACACCAATAACCAATATAACCAAATAATTCCTAGGTTAAACAAAAATTACATTATATTAACAATAAATAGTGTGGTACTGTTAATGTTTAATGGTCTATTTGGATGAAAATAAAGAATAAGAAGGCAGGTGAGATGTTAGAAATGAAGAAGTCTGGGCACAGGAAGTCAAGGACATGACTGGAATAGAAAATTAACATCTATTATTTTAATTTTATATACCTATATAAACATTAAATGTAGGGGGAAAAGGTAATTTTTATTAGAAAATGTGTAGGCAAAACCCTCAGTAAAACGGACCTCATGGCTATCATCATCTGTTAGCATGGGGCATCGGATATTCATTGTGAAAGACAGAGTGAGCTACCTCTTAGCATCCACATTATCTCATCTTTAAATTATTTCTCTAATTATTTCTCTGACTAGTGCGATTGTGGAGTGAACTTGTCTCTCCCTTAGAAAGTTCACCTACTACAATAAAAACAACTTGTCACAGGACCTAGATTGAAAGCATTTAGCAGTACAGATAATTTGAAAAGCAAATTGTGTGAGTGAGGCTGAGCCATGGAGACTTACCCAGTGTCTACTGGGTTGAGCTGCTTTCAGCCACAAAATCAATGCATGACACCCATCAGGAAATCAGATGCCCCTCTGTTGCCTAAATCTCAGACTAATGCCTGAGATGAATGGCTGAGCAGTCAAACTTCCTATTAATGAAAACCTTTCAATATTAATATAAGCTATATAAACATATAAATGATATGTAAATAATTTATTTAAAATTTAACCAGATTAAAAATTACTTAAGGATGACAGTATATCAAGTAATTGTCTCGGCTCTGCTTTGATTTTAGATTAGTATTCTTGGTGGATAACCCGAAAATATTGTATATGCTAAACAGATGTTCAAGAAACAAAAGACTTTTATAGGCATTTACATTTTCATAGATCCTCACAGTCTTGGTTTTCGATTTTCAGAACCTAAATCATTAAATGTTCCAGACACATAGATCCATGAACTAACTGCAGGTGTTTCAACACAATGCTTGATGGATAAAAAATGCCTTTTTCAACTAAACTATTTTCAATAACAAAATAAACAGTGCACTAAAAAAATGCACTCTAATAACTTATATGCTCAAACTTTTCAGTGGCTTTTAATAAATAGCTAACAATTTCTTCCACTATAACAACATGGTAGAATAAGGAACAAGGATGCATGTTTATACTTGTATATTACTTTTTATGTCACTTTTATTTTATTCCTTCTATGTGTTTTATTCATATGCTAGTATTCTCACCACTATGTTTCAGGCAAAGGGAGGGCAGTAGCAAGGTTTAAAAACACAAGGAATGCCTCTCTGTGCTCTATGGCTGGCTGTCAAGCCGCTCGCATAATCCTCAACAACAGGATTTTCTGAATAGAAAGCTGCGTCACAGAGGCTTGGTCAGAGTTAACACTTATTATCTGTGTTATCAGATATAGCCTCTGCACGGACTATAACAAAATTATCGAGGAAGACAATTTCCACATAGGAGGAGTATTTGATTCAATTCCAAGGGTTTCCTCTCTCAATAATACATTCACCTACGTCTATCAGAGATTTTGGCTGCATATAAATAAGCAAGATGAGCAAAACTACCGCGTTAAGAAAAGATTGCAGATACACAGTAATACTCACACTGCTGCTGAATCAGCCAAATTATTGACATGACCATGGCTACAATGTACCATATTCACTGGAATTCTTAGAATCTTGTGATTACATCAACTAACAAATAATTAGAAGTTTCAATACTGTATACATATTATATGTTTTATACCAGATCCTGTCACTGGGCAGAGGGGCCTGCTATTCAGTCTTACCTGCACATTTGGTTCTGGTGATCAGCGGAGGTCCTGGGAGCCCTGTGCCGCCTTCACCGGGTCTTGTAAGTAGGACGCGGATCTCGTACTCAGTATCTGGATCCAAATGCCATAACTTGTAAGTGGGAGCATTGACTGCATGGGTTTCCGTCCAGGAACCTGACGTCATTCGATACTCCACTTCTTTCAGGATAATGGGACCATCGCCAATGATGGAGTTGGCATTTAGCTGAATCAGCAAATACGTAGGCCCGACGCCCAGTAGCTGGGGTGGAGCAATGGGTCTTGGTGGTTCTAGGAGAGATGAATGTGCAATGTAATTAGTTAAACATCCAAAAGACTAAAATATAAAGGTATAGTAACGCCTCTCAAAGCCTCAAGGCTTAACACACAATTTAGTTAGCAGTACAAAATAAATAGTTAAAAGAAAACCAGGACGTGGATGGTTTCTGGCAACTGCACTTTTGAAGAGCAAATCCTTTCACAGATGGAATATGGCCCTTTACAACAAGTGTTCTCTTATTAAAAACATGTCTCGCTCTTACCCTGCCGCTGCGGAGTAGAGCGGAGGCAGAGGCTTCAGTGCATTCAAGATTTAGCTTCACCTGTAACCCACCTATGGCCCAGGAAGGCACTGCTGCTGGAGGTGTAATGGACATTAATACTGCTTTACGAGAGGTGCTGAAGACCGCCCTCATCCACCACGGCCTAGCACANGGAATTCGCGAAGCTGCCAAAGCCTTAGACAAGCGCTAAGCCCGTCTTTGTATGCTTGCATCCAACTGCGATGAACCTACAGATGGTGGCGGCCCGCTGTGCTAAACTCCAAATCAACTTAATTAAGGCTGATGACAACAAGGAGCTAGGGGATGGGTCAGCCTCTGTAAAATCGGCAGAGAAGGAAAACCCCGTAAAGTCGTTGTAGTTGTGTGGTGGTTAAGGATTATGGCAAAGAGTCTCAGGCCAAGGGTGTGATCGAGGGATTACTTCAAATGCAAGAAATTAACAAATAAACTTGGCTTTTGTTTTTAAAAAAAACAAAAACAAACAACAAAAAAATGCCTCTACAGGACATAAATTTGTAAAGGCAGGGTAAACAAGTGAAATAAAGAGATAATATTTAGAGATAGGTAGCTCTGATTAGCTACTAATAGAGTACAGTTGATCTTTGACCTTGGTGTCCTAAGACCTTTATAAATCTTCAAATTAATGAATATTGCTATCACTCATAATTTCATTCATGAAAGATGGCCATGTGGTGTTACATTCTTGCTTTGTTTTTTTACTTCTGCAAAGATCCTGCTGGTGAAAAGGAGGAAGGAACAGCAAAGCAGGACTCAAGCTGATGCTAGGTGCTGACCTGTTTCCATACATCCACCTCAGAGTGTAAGAAGTTAAAATTGACACCAAGGCAAAATCACAAATCACTACCTAACACTGGGCTTGGGAGTGGTATGTGATAAGGCAATGCATCAAATATTAAACTCAACTGTCAAAGGTCACCACAATTTAGTTTTGGATAGTTTAGACATTTTGCTTGAAAAAAACTTTAGGAAACACAATTTCAATGCGTGAACTTACAGAAATGATGAATGATGAATTAGAGTACTTTTTATCCTTAACAACATCTAGCTGAAATTTGATACTGGGCTTCATGAAGCCCTCCACAGCCTTAGCTCTGTCCATATGGTCTGTCCACAGGGAATGCTATGTCATGAATGTCATGAAGATATTCTAACTACTACTTTGTGAGGAGGTGGGTCTTCTTGGAATGTCTGGACATTCACTTCTAGGGAAAGACAAAAAGCTTTAAAGGAAAGTGTTATTAATCTTAATAAAGTGGTAACTGCCCAATCATTGTTGTCAAGTTTTGTTTGTCTGCTTTTTAAGTGTGAAAACAAATAATACAAAGGAGAACTATTAAAATATAATTACACAATAAGCCCTATTCCCCATTAGTGGTGGATTACATAAGATGCAGCTAGAGAGAAGTTAAGGACAGCAAACATGTTTCAAACTGGATTTCCTATTTTAATGACAATGGATGCTTGGAACAAGATAGAATGCACAGAATCCTATAGACAGGTATTACCTTCTGATGCAGGTTGTAATGAAGGAAGGGTTTCCAGATGTGGCCCAAGATCTGCCTTTAAACGCTGATTGTATAAAAGTATAGTTTCCTCTTATGTACATCTGAGTTACAAACAACCTTAACATAAGGGAAAAGACCAGCTACCTAGGTATCTTTTCCAAGAATTTTCCTCTGAAATTCCTATGACAAATATTTATTGAGCAACTACTACTAATTGCTAGGCTGTTCTACACATCGGATAATCACATAATATGGTAGGGGAAACATAGTAACAATAAATCAATATTACTGTTTTTTTCAAATTCATTTATAATTGAGAGTTATGTAGAAAACAGATACTGTGAGAAAGAATAACATTTGAGGGGGGTTATCTAGTAAGTGACACTAATCTTTTTTAATCCAAAATCATTTGAAGAATATTATCCAAATATGCATTATATATGCTTAATTCATAATATATATATATATATAATGGGTATTTTTTATAATCACTTTAATATATAATAAAATATATTAATGCTAATGTGAGTACTGTTATATAATTTATAGACAGATATATGAAATATTTTATATAAATATATTAAATGTGTATATGTTCAGTTATAAATATACTTTTTAATTATCAAAAAAATTATTTGATGACTATTAACACATTGAGGACGGGGCATTTAAATGCATGGACGCAAATCTGTGTCACCGGTCCACAATGTGTTGTTATTCCCATCATTAGTGATGGCTCATGTGGTGTTGTGTTCAAACTCATCAGTAGTACTACATGAGCTTGTCGTTCACTATGCTCATGTTTAAAGCGAAAACAAAACTAAGGTCAAGTAAGATTATATATGTACTATATAAATTGATTATGTTTAGAATTATTTTCATTGCTTTGATAAAATAGTTCTTAACACCTGATTTATAAACTTTAACTACAAAATCTGTACATTATGGTTTGAAAATTGTTTCAACAATATATACTCATAATTGAGCAGAGGCTGACCTATTTCCAATTTCACAACTGACTTCAATTAAGGACTTACCCACAGAAGAAAAACTTGAAGTAAAACCAAAAATAGTATCAGCTAAAGAAAGATAGAGCTACACATTTCATACATGAAAATTTACCAGTATAACATCTTTTATATTTTTAGTATATAAAAGTTTTGGTAGACAGAGAGCAAAGAAAGTTGATATATTTTCTAATCCTTAAACCAAAATGAAACTGACTACAGAAATGAATACAATAGAAAAAATGCAAATGTTTTCCCAGACTATTTAAATGTTGCACATATTCTAAGCAGTCTGTATTTTGCGAGTAAACTAAGTCTTCTCATATGTACAATGTTTGTTTTCATTCCACATTGCTCATATACTGACTAATTTAAGAAGGAAATGATGCTAAATTCATAGCTGCTGGGGTGTTCTTCCCCAGAGCAGAATGCCTCACTCACATTACAGCTGAATAATAACCTGAAGAGGTCTTACATTTAGCATGATGAAATCATTTGCCCAATAAATTATAAATAACAAACCTTGGGTAACCTATGAATTTATGGATATTCTGAAACCTGACCTAATGAGTATGTTATCGGATGTTAAATCTCACCAATCAAAACTCTGCATGCTATTGTCGCAGAAAATAGGAGGAAACACAAGAGAACAGCAGAGAGTGAGAGGGAGAAAAGGGGGAAAGCTACAAAACAACACATTACAAACAAGTGAAAAAGTAAAGCATAATCTCTTCTGTCCTTTCCATGTTTAAGAAAATCACATGTAGAAGAACATGAAATTTAAAGTCAAAAGATCTAGTTTCAAAAAAGTGCAGACGCTAATAATAGCTGGGTAAACTTGAGTGTGATTTAACTTCCTAGCATTACAATTTCTTCACTGGTAAACTAAGCATTATTTTTAAAAATTTCAAAGACTCCCCATTTCTACATATACCATCTAACCCCACATTTGATGCTCCTTTGCTTTGTTTTGTTTTTGCCACAGAGCACATAAACTTTAAAACCAAAAATTAATATTCAACACTAGTGCCTTGTATATATGGAAAACATGAGTTTGATGTCAGGTTCTTGTCCTGAAGTAGAACAACAATTCACTCTGATCAGTTTCCCATCTCATTTGTAATGGCCAAGCAAACAAAAGGGACAGTCCAATAATCAAAGCCTCTCCTCGTATTTGGAACTGTGGCGATGTTCAGAGAGGCTTAGAAACATATACATTGATTAACAGCATGATTATAAGAAGTGAAACCTAGCATTAATGAGACTAATATACCACCACGTATTAAATTTTTTATGTTGGAGGTAAAAGTAGCTTCATATTAGCATATGTATTGTTTTTTGGCCCTTGAGAACAACAGGAGGCTTATTTATAAAATCTCTATTCATTTCAATTAATTATGCATGAATTTTAATCAGTTAGCAAATGAACAATAAAGATTTTATTGGGGAATTGGGGGAGAGGAACAGTGCTGGGGAATCAGGTGAAGGGGAACAGACAAGTTGCTGTCCTTTTGTTCTTCAGTCTAGTTGTGGGGGACATTGCTTCACTGGCCCATGTTGGTGTTATCATTACGTTCTTCCCGGGTGAGGCAGATCAGTCACCGGCCTGTGGACGACCGCTCACAGCGGCTCTTGGCAGCTCACACTGCCTGCCAGCCGCTCACGCTGGCTGCCGGCCACACGTAGCTTATGGCAGCCCACTGCAGCAGGGGCTGCAGCCTACGCAGTCGCCGGTGACTCATGGCAGCCCATCTCCAGGTCGAGCTGTTGCTCACCATCTTAGCTGTAGAAGGCAGTGTCACTGGCCCTCATGTAGGATCCAAACTGGGGCCCTGCTGCTCAGAGCTGGCATCCCAAGCCAGCTCCTAACGAATGCACCACTCAGCCGGCCCTAATATTCTTCATAACTTAATACACTACCAGACATAGAGGTGTGGTGCAAATAAATCCCAAACGTACACTAGGTATCAACTGAAGCATGCAATACCCAAAATACAAGATAAACTTTGCTGACGTTACCAATTAACTTCCAATTGATGACTTATATTCATTATCCTAGAGCCAAATCTATTATAAAATCACAATTACAGATCCAAATTGGTTTCTATTTTTATTTCAAATAATTTTTAAAAGTGTCTTGAAATCAACATAAGCCATTATGAAAATACATTCTTATCCAATTATTCCTATTATAA